TCCAAGAAATGATTAAGAAGAATCTTTAAACTATTACAGGTGAAAATTTGTTCAACAGAACTGATTTAAAACATTAGTTGCATGTTATCTTTCCTGTTAGACTAAGAATAACAAGATACAAACACATTTAAAACATATTGGCTACTGTATCATTATTTGCTTCTTCACTACTGGCACTGATTATATCATAGTTAAGCTATAATAATATTTATACTTAATAAAGAGTCTCTATTACTTGAAGATAATCAATCCGTTGTTGCAGATCTTCAGTTTTTTTATTTTATATTTAAAATCAAGTTGTTCTTGTTTCGTCTTTGTTATGGAAGATGAAGATTTATCATCATTCATCATAATATTGTCATAATAAAGAGGTCCAAAATCTGTAGATATATTTGGAAGAACATGTTTTTGGTCCATCTTTTCTACAAGCATGTCTACTTTATCTTCTATATTATCCATTTTTACAAAAAGTTTATGAAAAAAGAAAGAAGTTAAGTCTATTAAATCATTTACAGTTCTACTTATGCTAATATTACTAGATTCATACTTAGGATCTATATGCAAGTCATGATTATAAGATATATCTTTACAAATACAAGTATTTTCTTCATAAGTTTCCATGTTTTTGGTGCTTAAAACCGGTGTGTTGTTCTGACAATGCTAGCCAATAAAGGCAATTCAAGCCACAAAAGCCAGCAACAACTCAGATATGCACGTATGAGCTTTGAAACAAAGAGCTTAAAAAGAAGATGAAGTAAGAGGAAAGAAAATCTTACAAGATGAAATACAAGTAGATCTTTATTGTTGAATCTGTAATACAGCTTAGCAAACCTTTGTACAAGCCTAAAGCTTTGATACCATTTTCAAGAGGGTGCGAAAATGATCTATGTATAAAGGATTACAAAGCAATATATATAAATTTACAAGTGGAGGACGGTAAACAAGAGAGAGAGGAAAGTAAAGATAAAGAAAGGTGAAGAGATAAAGTGAGAAAAGAAAGGAAAAAAGAAAGGAATTGGTCTCCTTTAGCTTAGATACACTGAGGCTTTAAATAGAAAATTTTTAACCTATGAATAGTAACTATATACAGTTACGGCTACAGTGTATAGTAGAATTTTATCTGCAATACTACTACAGTGACTTGCTACAGTATCTTTCGTAATAGGTCTCTATCTTTTTCTACTACAGTGATTACTACAGTGACGTTTATCTGTCTGTTACAGTGATTGATACAGTTGACTGCTACAGTGTTTTCTGTCTGCTAGTCGTTGGCGTCGAATGTAGTTTGTCTTTTAGTGTCGGCTATTTATTTTGGCTTATTTTGGATTAGAATATGCATAATTTTATCCTTCCATTGCATTGTTTAAGTTATGAAATTTTTCATCCAGTGCGTTAAGGGACTGGAGAGATTGAGGAGATCCAGAATGTGTTTTGTTTCACATTTGCCATCCTTTTTGGTACTGGTATAGTAATTCTATTGGATGATTTAGATCTTTCATGTTTGATAATTTTTTCAGTAGCGCAATTACGTCTGGAGCATTTTGTATATCAAGATCTTCATGTGGTTCAATAAATCTGATAACAAAAATGTGTCTGCCATCTGCCCAGTAAACTATTTTTGGATAGTCTAATGAAACTTTTCTTAAAATTTATTTTGCTGATGAATTATCTGACGAAGAAATTTATTATGAAGTTTTTTCAGAAACTGATTATAGTTCTTCTGAAGATGAATCATATTTTATTTTTATGATAAATACTGAACTAACCAAGATAATGTTTCAGTAACCTCTTTTATAGGTACAAAAACTACCAACGAAGATGGAATGGTTAAACTAAAAAATATTATGAAAAAAACTCATTTTTTTTTCTGATGAAAAACTAAAAGAATTACAACTCATCAAACCAAATGAGATTTATAAAACAAGTTGGTTTAAACAATTCTAACCTTGGTCTAAATGCCATATAGAAAAACTATATGGTGATATGGTTGCTAACGATTCTAAACAAAGATCGGTAGAAATCCCTCTTTTTACTAAAAAGAAAATAAGCCATTTTCTTTCTCGATATCCAAATGTCAAATACATCCATATCAGAATTATTTTGATCACCATTAAACCACTCTTTTTATCCACAAAAGATATTCCCATAATAGCTATTTTAATGGATCATCGTTTTCAAAACCCTGCTAATGTTGTAATTGGTGGAATCCAATCCAATTTAGCAGTATGAGTAGTTTTATTCAAAGTTAAACCAAACTATTTTATTTCTATTTTTGACGAAAACATTGAACAATGTTTATGCCTTCAAATCAAAATAACCAATTCTGATTTTGAATTTACTTTGCATGATCTTTCAATAAACTGGTCAGGGGTTTATGAATTTACAAATACTACCAATACCTCTATCAAATCGATAGACTCCAATATTATTGAAATTTTTGAACCAAACAATTTTGATTCAGAAATTAAACCAAAACTAGTAAATCTCGCAGATTTATCAATTCCAAAAGGATGGTGTCTCGAAGATCTTTCAAATACTTCTAAAAAATAGAAAGTACCAAATTTAAAATTTTTCTCATTAGAAAAAAATCTTTACTTAAAAAATCCAAACGCATCAACCAGTTTTAATCAAAACCTGGTTTTACCTCCTGCAAATGCTTTTGATCATCAACAAGATGATGATACAGAGAGTATAACAAGCAATCAATCTTTTTGTACTCCTTACCGAAATTCTTTTTTAGGTTTTCATAATACAAAAAGTACAGTTACCGCTACAGTGTACAGTAAAATTTTTTTCTACAATACCGCTATAGTGACTTGCTATAGTGACGTTTTATCTGTCTGTTACAGTGACTGCTATAGTATTTTCTGTCTGATGATCGTTGGCATCGAATGTAGTTCTGATGATCAATCAGATCCAGAATCAAGTGAAATTCCTATTCCTCAAACAGATAAACGTGGGAAAAAAAAGCATTAGCAATATCTAACGCAAATATTGATGATACTTTAAGATTTCCAGATTTACTTGATCTTGATATAATGGATCAACATCTTTCTCATTTAAAAGAAAAATATTCTCACCTAAATAAAGATGAGATAAAACAAACATCTTATTCTGGTCAAATAGGTCAGGTAAAGATTGAAGCTCTTGTTATCGATTCGTTAAACAAACGAACGATTTTTCAAGATGGTACTTATTTAGACTTAACCAAAGTCCCTCTTAAACACTATGAAAAAATCATAGATGATTTGGCACAATCTATGTCTATTGTTGTCATAGGATACAAATAGCAATGGAACAAAGAAAGATTCTTCAATTATTTTTGTGGTACATGGTAATGCGATGTCTTTTAATTTCTCAAAAAATGAGAAACTACAACCCTCGGAGAACAGCAGAAATCAACTCTGTTAGCCGCAGGAGATATACCTCAACTTCTAAAAGATTTAACACAAATATTGAAAAATGAGTTTTGTAATAGTATAGAATTTTTAGATCTCACTTAAGAAGCTTAATTTATTTTATCAAAATTAAAATGATGTGATACTCAGTATTTTGATGATTTTTCTAAAAAATATCTCCCTAAATATCAAAAATTGGATGAAAATCATTCAAACTTTTGGTTACAACAATATTTTCTCAAACTTTCCTCACCATAGGATGAATTATGTTCACAAAATTATCTAATTTATTTAGAGTTAAAACTCAAAACTGTTCATACTGTAATCTCAGTATAAAACTTTATGATACTCTTGGATGTAGAAAACATTACGTTCAGAATCAGGTCAACGAATACTGCCTCAAGCAAAAAGCTGCGAAGCAAGTAAAATCCAAACTTTCGTATAAACAATGCACAAAGATTTTGAAAAATAAATTTGAATTTAGTTGCAATAAACAGTCTTTTTCAAAGAAACATCGTTTTAAAATTTGTGAGGTATTTTTTTGTGAAATAAAACGTAAGATCTTTGGTCAAAATAGATAATATCTGACAGATTAAGTATGAATATTTACAAATAATATCAAAGCGAGGTTACCAGTATGATAGAAATTAAATGCTATATCGTGAAAACTACTTCTAGAATTCTGTGAAACTAAGTACTGCATAATGGGAGTCACCTCTAGAATGTGGGAGTTACTTCTAGAATCTCAATGTCTGATGTGATCATGTTATTTGTATATCTTTATGTTGAGCTTGCCCAAATTTGGAGTGATTCAATAAATCTTTGTACTTTGTGTTAGTGAAAGTTACCTCTAAAATTTTAATGTTTGGTGTAATCTTGTTATTTATATATGCTTTATGTTAGGTTTTTTCAACATTTAGTGTAATTCGATAGATATTTGATATGATTTGATAAATCTATATGTTTTATATTGGACTTGATAAAAATATTAAATTTTAATAAAAAAATTTATGATATCTTAATTTTATATCAAGATAATCTAATTTTTTGTTATAACATATATAAAGATCTAAATCTAAATTTATGAAATACTTTTGTATAATAAAACTATAAAAATTTTAAATCATAACAAATAATACCTTAGAAGATAAATGTGGATTTACGGTGTTTCCAGATTCTTCAAAGCAATCAGCAGCCCAATTAAAGTCAAAACCTTGATAAGTCACTTTGCGCAACCATTCCTGAACCTACTAGTAGTAATCTTTCTTTTTCTATATTTTTTTAAGTACCCAGATTACCCCTTCAACGGTTTGGAATGCCACCTCCATCCCTAAGATTGCTTTTGGTTCATGCAACTGTCACGTGTCAGTAAAGCAACTGTGATGAACTCAAACGGTTAATTCTGGTATCGGCGGTGAAATTGAGATAAAAAAAAAAAAGAACACTATTCCTAATACTCATAGTTCAAACCATGCGTTGTTACTTTTTGTTCCTAAAAAGAAGTAGATTCCAAAGCTCTTTACTTTTTATTCTCATTTTAATTAATTAATTATTTTTAATTTCCCCAATTTTTCTAAACTTTCATTTGTTTTCTTCTATAAATTGCCATCTCAATACTCTCGAAAATCCTCTTCCAATTTTGCTCTCTCCCCCCTCTGTTCAATTCAGGCTGTTTCTGCTCTCTTCTTGTTTTTCTTTTCCCATGTAGAGCTGAGGTTCTGCTGGTTTTTTTAGCTTTTTTCCCTGGTTTTCTCTGTTCTTTTCATATCTTTTTGGTGGGTTTTTGCCCTTCTGTGGGGGGTTTTGGTTGTTAAACTTTGGATTCCAGAGTCTATATAAAAAACCCATAAAGTCAAAACTCTTGAAAAAACTCCATTCTTTCAGCAAAAAAAAAAAAGAAAATTCTTGTTTTTGCTGAGATTTGCTGAAGATTTCCTTTTTCTTTTTTTCTGTTGTGAACCTTCATGCTGCATACGTTGTTGTTATTGATGTTTGAGATTCATGTCTCCAGTTGTCCGTGAAATCCTCCGATCCGGGTTTATGATCAATCCCTCCCTCAGAAACAGGACCCATCTTGTTCAATCTTTCTCAGTTGTCTTCCTCTATTGGTTCTATGTTTTTTCAGAAATAATTTTTTTTGTAATTGCTTGAGTTTCACTATATATATAGTAAGTCAAACAAATAACTATCTAGATTAGCTAAAGATAGAATCGGGGTCCTGTCGTCTTTGAGGTTAGATTAATATATTTTATAGAAGTTGTAGCAGTGATTTTGGTGTAAATATAACATGGCTTCGTCTAGTGGAAATTCCAATTCCTTAGGTTCCACTCTGATTCAGAATTCTGGCTCTGAAGAGGGCTTGCATCAGTTGATGGATCAAAGGAAAAGAAAGAGAATGGAATCAAACCGAGAATCAGCAAGAAGATCCAGGATGAGAAAACAGAAGCACTTAGATGATTTAGTGGCCCAAATGACACAGCTAGGGAAGGATAATGACCAAATCCTGACAAGCATCAACTTCACCACCCAGCACTATTTGAACATTGAGGCTGAGAACTCAGTTTTGAGGGCTCAGATGACGGAACTGAGCCAAAGGCTAGACTCTCTAAATGAGATCCTTAATTATCTCAGCAGCCCCACAACAAACAATGGGGTGTATGAAATCGAGGGTTTTGAAACCAGTCCTGACAGTTTCATCAACCCTTTTAATCTGCCTTATTTTAACCAGACCATCATGGCCTCTGCAGACATCTTTCAATACTGATCCTCATCCTCATCCACACCATCATCACTAAACGGATGAAAAAATGGTCAAAGTTATGGATGTCTTTACAATAATTTCTTGGTGGTTTTTTCCTTTTTTTTTTTAATGTGGGCATCAATGAGTGGAGAGGAAAAAAGAGGGTACTATTATTTTTTCCCCTTCTTTTATGTTGCTATTATTAATAATATTAATATTACTAAAATATTAGCGTTAGTCAACTAGGCAGATGATGTAAAAGAGAATTGGCAACTAGCAAGTAAAAGCTGCTTGCTAGGGATAAAAATTATGAGTTTTTTGTAAATGGGGATTTCAGATATAAAATATGGTGTGAAGGATTGTGCATGAATGTGGTCTCCCATGGTGTCTTTTTCTTCCTTCCAAACGCCATAATTTATGGTGTCTTCTCTTCTTGTAAGCAAGTGAGAATAATTCTCCCGCTTTCTCTCTCTCTCTCTCTCTCTCTCTCTCTCTCTCTCGTCTCTTCTTTCCTCTGTTTTTGGTCAAGAAAAGTGGCAAATAATTGCTAATGCCAAAAGGATTATCTTTTATTTGACACAATAGTTGATTCTTCAGCCCATCCATTTAATTCTAAAGACAACATAGTAAAATCCTGCCCTGATCAAGATTTCTAAGTTTTAATTTGAAGAGGAAACAGACACAACTCTGTTTCCGGCCCATAGACCTATCAATTTGAATATATAAATGAAGTGATCATATTAGCCCCGTCTCATGTTTGATGATTCTTGTGCCACTTTGAGGAAACCCCCATAATTTTGCTAAAGGTTCAATGTACAATTAATGTTTAACCAAAAGCTTTTTGTTTTTTTTTCCGATACGACTTTAATCATTTTCGTGTTTGAATGAATGCCAATAACCCATTCAAAAACAAGGTTTATTATATAATCTTCACCTAACTTATGCTTATGCATGTGTTAAATTTTTTTTTTTTTTAATTTGAGAAGTGGGGATTGAAACCCTGATCTTTGAGCAAGGAGATCATGCACCAACTACCGAATTAGGCATGCTGGCCATCAATCCATTATTATGGTGAATTAAGAATTGAACAAAGACAAGGGAATTGAGTAAAAGATTAGCCACCAATCCATTAGTTATGGTGAATGGAAAAGTGAAGCTCATCAATTGTGGGGTTTCAAAACTCAAAACCCTCCACTGTCAGGCACGTTGAACCAATCTCTTTGCATTTCTCTGCCTCTTGTTTTTCTTGGCCAAACATTTGTTTCTTTTAATTATATTTGTTTAAAGCTATAATCCAGATTAATCATACTGGCCATGTACTTGCTTGAAGTTGACCCTTTAGCTCTGTGATGTGTGCTGCCAATGCCCCCTTGGATATAGTTTCTTTTTATTTTTGTCTTTGCCCTCCTTTTGTTTCCTGATTGTTGAAGGTGGGAATTGATTCTAACATTTTTCATTTTTCTTCCATCCATTTTGATTCTCTTTGATTTCCTACCAAATACACAATGTTTAGAGAATAAAATCTTATATAAGATCACCCTTTGCCAAATAAATGATACAAATACATGCCACAAATGCGAAAAGGTTAGAAAAGAAGCCAACTTGAATTAAATAGGGCTTGCTTCCCCTGCATTTATTGATCCAATGTGTGCCTAGAAATAGAATTGCTTTATAGTGCATGAAACTTCTAATGGAGATTACACCAACTGAACTGGAGCCACACAATGGAAAGCAAGAAAGTGGGTGACTTTTGGTAGATAATGGGGTTTTCTAGTAGAGAAAGTAAAGGGACAATATCATCTGCTATTAGTATTAGAACTGATAAATTTGATTCGAATCAACTCGATTTGATCATAAAAGGTCAATAGTTCAATCCGTTCAATCTAAATTCCTATTAATCTGAACCCATGTTGACCTGAACTAAAATTGACCTGAATCTGATTGGCCAATTAATTGCTTTTGTTGTGTTTGATGCATGGTAGCAAAAAAGACAGAAATAGGATTAGTTTAAAAACAAAAGATATAATGAAAGCACGAGCTTTAACCAGAAGCGCTCCATTGAGAAAATGTTGTCATTTTCTTTTGCAGTTTTGCTTTTGTTTGATGGAAGAGTCAGTAGTTTTTGATGGCTTGAGTGTCTTTCATTCATTACTTGAATGATATTTGCCGAGGTGAGAGCAGTTCACAGCAAAACATAAGCAACGATGGCTTTAAATCTATTTTCTCTACTTTCAATGGTGGAAAAGTTTTTCCATATCAGAAGAGGAAGACAGGCCTGCAAAAATTAACATAAAATTTCGATCAGGCTACAATTGCAAGCTAAACGACACCAACTGCTTCCAGTCATTTTTCCTTGTGACTACTACATGGTTATTGGATCTCTGACTTAATTACTTAGAGCTTAAACTAGCTAGCTTTTGCTGTTGCTGGCAAGTAGCATGAAGGGCAGAGACAGAACATGATGTAAGACTAAAATGACATTCCCAACTACACATATTAAACAAATACAAATAATTGGGGGTGCAAAGGAACATTGTGCTAATTCATCCAAAAATTAGTAGGTTAGAATTGTATCATCTCAAATCATCAGTGTGGTAAGTGGGGTTCCGACAAACATTACTGTAAGTTTAGTACGTTACATTACATGAAATCATATAAAATCGTAATCCCAAAGTTGGATCAGTTCAGGTTTTGTTTTTGTATTTTAATAGAACAGGGAATTAAAGCTTAGATATGGTAGCTCTCCACTTAAATGGTTGTATAATTAGGGAATTTGACCATGGAAGTGATCATGTTTTTTGACTTAACAGTCATGTACCCTCTAAAGGAAATGAAAGGTTTATATTCAGAAAATGATTTTCAGGAATTCTGGTTTGGTTAGAAGTTTTCCAGGACAGCTTGGTGCTGCAAAGAAGGATTCAAATTATGGCTTCTATTCATGCAATGGAACTTCAAAAGAAAGGTAAAAAGTAAGCCTAGACAACTTCTTTGTCAAATATTGCATTTTGGGTTCAGGAAACAAAGAATTCAATTTAGGTAATCTGTTGATATCAGATTATATCTTTGTTAGCAGTATTTTGCCAACATTGAACTTTACCCATGAGTGTTTTTTTTTTTCCTTACGATTTTGAGGTTCGAACTCGAAACCATCAAGAACAGAACGAGGAAGAAAAGCATCGTCTCCTGAGATCAATTTATTCGCTTATCATATAAAGATCCGAGTAAAAAGAAAAAAGCACCAATGTATTATTTTCCTTTGCAGGTCTATAAATTTCACAAAAACTCATACATCATAGAGATTTGACTTATGAAAGAAAGCAATGATGTGCTTTCATCAGCATGTATGGAGAGAGATAAGATTCCACCTAGGAGCCATTAGAGATTGCAAGCAAATAGAGAAAAGAACAGATATTAAGATTAAACACATCAAAAGCATTACCGTCAATTACAGTATCAGAAAGGATCACCATTATTGGAAAGAGCAATCAGGATAGCACTAATGGTAACCAAAAACTAGACGGCATTCACACGATAATCATTAACTAAAGAAAACGAGGGAAAAAGGCCCACTTGTGGGGTAGGGGGTGGACAGTGGGGACAAGGTGCTTTTATAAATAATTAAATATCCTGCTCTGGATAAAACTTAATGATTCCTGTTTTACAGAAGCTGACCCAAGGCAATTTCAACTTAAAGCATTCGTATCTGCTTGAAAAGTTTCCAGTACAAAATAAAAAACACATGATGAAAATGTAGAAAAGTTTCTGCTATATGTTCTCAGTCTCACTTAATCATATGGAATTCGGATATATGTGGCATCACATACGAATGTAATGTCAGCGAACAGCCATACACACCAACAAGTGCACAGCATATGGACTCCAAAACAGTAAATAGTTAAGCAAACGCCAAAGCCGTCCAAAAATGCATCCCAAACTTACCCCAATAGACTGCAAGTGGCATCAACCGGCTCACAGTCCCAATTACCTGCAGGGCAATCTCCAATAACATGCCCATCACCATATGAAATCTAAAAAAGTGAGGCCATTCTTTCCTGCTCACCACCCCCTGATATGCAACAAAAAAATATGCCGTCAGGAATGGATAGGTCAAAAACTCAATGTCTTCCAAGAAGCGGTGTAGATGATTTGCTGTCTCATGAAGTGGCATTAAATAGGGAAGGCACGCTAAAGTCCTCCACCACCATGTGGCTTCTTAGTCATTGGAGGATGGCAAAAACTGTATGGAACATCCTTAATTTGATGCTCGAGGCACCAAGTTGGATCTGCGATGCCTTGGCTATGAGGGTAAGGCATGTGACAAACCAACTTGGTCCCCACTCAACAATTGAACTGATGCAGCAGAAAGGTGCAAGAAAGGCACACCTATGAGATTGGACAGTTATACATCAGAGAAATAAGAATAACATGAGACATTCATCAATCCAGAACCACAGGATGGAAAATAAAAACGCTGAGACTCTTAGGGCGGTTTAGCCCTTTGTTAAGCCTAATTTAAAAACGATCTACAGTTGATGTTAAGGGTTAGCCATGGCAAATACCTCCAACTGGCCTTGATTTCTGGTTCAATATTGTTCACCTTTGATCATTTGGTTCTTAACCTGTAATATCAGCTACAATGCCTATCGCTCTATATATGATTAAAATTACATCCACTGGTTACTGCTAAAGCACCCATATGGGGAACATGTTTACTTAAACATAACACCAATTTAGATTCCATTTCCAGCAACAGGTAATTGTGAAAACTGAAAAGAGAAACTTCCACAGCATAACTTAGAAGCAACTGAAAGGAATGTTTCTAAACCAAAAAACGCTAATTATCAACCCAACAACTAAAGACAAAACCCATACTGTAAATTTATTCAAATTATTGTATACAAAATTAAAATTATAATTTTTCCTTGAAAATAACCTTTCGACAGTGTGAACCCAATAACTTGTGTCGGTCAGAATCAGATCTGAAAATTTGCAAAAGTAACAGTGAGGTTTAAGAACAACGTTGTCGAGTAGGCTTCGGCCATCAATAAATTCAGTCCAGTCTGACTTATGTCAGTAAATAATGGATTGAGGGTGGCCCATTTGGCCCAATTACTCTGCCTAAATCATTATCTTTAATAATTGTTTTCTTGGGGGAAATTTGTGTTTTACCAGATTTCTGCCAATTTCATTTTGTTTTCCTTTAAAAATAAATTATTTTCTCAATTAATTCATAATGCAAAATTTGATACCTAAACTACACTAACAGAAAATAAAAATTATGTTCGAAAATAAAAATTAAATGAACTTAATATTTTTAAAATAATACCCATTAAAATTTAAAAATATAAATAAAAATATTAATTTATAATAAATTATTTTTTTTTATTATTGAATAATAAACCAGCTTGTAATCAATATATAAATGATATTATAAATGAGTTACAAATAGGGGTGAGAAAAAATTGAAAAAATCAAAAATCAATTTGAAATTATAGTATTTGATTTGATTTAAAATAATTTTTTTATTTGATTCGAATTAAATTTAAATATTAAATATATATATATATTAAGTTCGAATTGATATGTGAAAAATTATAAAAAAAAAGAATCGAACCGAACTATATATTTTATTAATTTTTATAAAATAAAATAATTATTTTATATATAAATATTTAAATATATTAAAATTTTTATTCAAATAATATTTAAAAATAAAAAATTTTAAAAACTAATGAACCAAACTAAATCGAATCGATAAAATTCAATTTGAATTATATCAGTTTCAAGAGAATGCCTTTTCATATTCAAATCAAATTTCAAAAATTCATAATATTATTTATTATATGAAAAAATTAAATCAAATTCGATTAAATCAAATTCGAACCGTTATCATTTTTATTTATAAATTATTTTATCTTTTAACATAAGCAAATTGTACACATAATTTAAGATCAATTAATTTTTTAAAATAAATTTTAAAATAATTTATTTAATCTAATAAGTGAATATAAATGAACAAAAATTAAATCCGTTAACGAATTCTTCATTAAAAGCATTAATCATTCATTTATAATCTTAATTAAATTAATTACACCCGATTAAGATAAAAAATTATTCACTAAAAAAAAAAGGAAAAAGGAGAAAACAGTCGAAAATGTGAAGCGAGGACCAGGTCGTTATCAAGTTCCATCTACCAAAGTTCACCATTTCTCCAACCCACAGTATTACCAAATGGTAGAAAGAAAAAATGGTGCAAGTCATACTCATCATCCTTTTCTTTTTCTCCTCCTTTTTATCGACAAAGGAAAAAAAAAATGCTATTAAGAAGCTCAAATTTTTTAAGTATTTAAAATTAAAAGTATTAAACAAAGTATAAACTTTATTATGAATAACTCAAAAACTTTATATAATAATTTAAAATTAAATTTAATAATTTTACGTATAATATGATGATATGATACCAAAAAAATTATATATAAATTTATTATAATTGTATTTCATGTCTTAATCATGTCAACACAAATAAAATATGATATTATTTATATCATGTTCATATCATATAGTAATTACATGTTTAAAATACAATACTGTTCATAATATAAAAAATTTTATAACTTATTTTAATTTATTTTTAAAAAAATTAATAATCATTTTTATCATGTCATTTGATATTTAAATATATTATAAATATTTAATTTTTAAATATTTTTTGTTTAAATAAATAGATTAATCATATCAAATCGTGTTATTTGTATATAATTATATTAATCGTATTATATCATATATTATTTGGGTAATGAATCATGTCTAATTATGTTATTTATATATAATCATATTAATCATATCATATATTATTGTGTTAGTTAGATATTAATTAATTTTAAATATATTAATATTATCGTGTTTGTGTAATATGTATAATAAAAATATTATATTTGTATTTTAGTTATTCATGTATTTATATCGTAGTCATGTCAATATTATTTATATCATATTTAAAATTATATTTGATATGAAATACGATACGATAATACGAATTATCAAATTTATTTAAAATATAATATGATGATACGATATAAATATAATATAAAAAATTATTATAAAAATAATATATTTTAAAATTTTAATAATCATTCTATATAAATTTAATAAAATAATTATTTTATATTTTTTTTACATAAATTAAAATAAATAATTTATATATAAAATATGATAAAAATATATAAAATTTAATATTTTATTCGACATAAATAGACAAATTATCTGATGCATAAAGGTTGAAAGGAATCCGTGGAGTGCACTCCGCGTGGTAAAAAAGGAAACACTGCGGCCTTTTGTTTTTATCATTTATGATTTATCGTCCAAATTTAAGGAAAATAAATAAATAAAAACAAAAATGAAAAGTAAGCGGAGAAAAGGGAAAAAAAAGGGGAGAGGGAGCGGAAAAATAAGCACCGCCCTTGATTCTATCTTTCACTTCCTTGCTCTTCCTTGTTTCCGTCGTGAGCATAGCCTTCCCTTCTTTCCCTTCCTCTCTAACTGCCGTCGAAAATTTGGACGATGTTCAGATCTCTCCATGACTCCCTAATTATTGAATCTGTAAGTATCTTCTTCTTTTTTAGAAAAATAATATTATTATTATTTTCGCTAGTGTTTTTGTGTGGATGCTATTTTTGGGTGTTGGAAACTTGAAATCAGTTCAGAAAGTCGAGTACGAAACGCACCCGTTTTCGACCCCTAGGTTGAACTTTTTTTTTTTTTTGCTTTTTAGATTTCTTTAAACTTTTGAGCCATTCTGATTTGTACAACAGTAAATGTTCGAACCCATGATGCTTTGCTTCTGTTTTAATTATAAAATTAATAAAATTATGTTCTCTAGTTGTTTAATAATGAATTCTCAAATTTGTGCTTTTTTTTTTAATTTTATTTTACAGGAAATACTTGCATAGCTTGAATCAGTGGTGTGAATTCGTATATGAGTGATCATGGGGTCAGCTTGTTGTGTAGCTGCAAGGGACAGAACCGTTCCAAATAGAACCGGAGGTGATACTTTGCATAGGAACGTGACGTGTTCACCATCTTGGAGCTTCCGCTGGGATAATCGAAGGCGTGTGGCCGGTGAAATTGAAGAGCCTTCTTATCAGGTGTCTAATGGAGCTAGCAGAAATGTTAGCATGGAGATAAAAGGGACATTAGGCTCTGATAGAGGTAATCTTTCTGATCAAGGAAGTGAGCTTGGAATTGAGAACTATGGAACACCCACTTCTCAAAAATCACCAATCCGTGAAGATATGGGTGGGGATTTGATGAACCCTCCTTCAGGTAAATTCACTTGCTAATTGAAATAGCATATGGGCATACCTTTTTCCTATCAGCATCTTGAATATACATGGGTGTTTCAGGAAATGTATGCTAGAATTTTTGTTCTATGTTCATTGTTTGGAGATTATGTAATTTATAACTTTTGTCTTTGAACTTGCATGCAAAATGCAGGCTAAGAATTTGGTGGTTCATAATGCCCGACCTTTAATGTGCATGATAGAATTTATGTATATTTACAAGTTTTATGCATTATTGTCTACTTCTATTCTTTGTTCTCCCAATGCAGTTTTGAGTAATATTGCTTGTAATCTGTTTCCTTTTTTCTTTTACTTGTTTGTGTTGTGTTTGATATTGTTTTATGTTGTTGGTCAGACATATCAAGGGCAAGCAATTATTCCATGGAGGTAAGTTTGATGTAGTTGAATAAGCTTTTTATGCTTGTGTGTATTTTCATTTTTATCTTTTGGATGCTCTAGCCTATTCTACCACTTTTGATGGACTAACATGTTTCTGATTATCTTTCAGGGGAAGATTTTGGCAGAATCACCAGATATTGTGGATTCATCTGCACCAAAGCTATCATTTTGTATACCTCCATCATTCTCATCACCAATTACAAATACTTTGTCTAGTCATGTACATTTACTTCCTCCCAACTCAACCCCATCCAGACGGGCACGCCGTTCACCTGGTTACCGGCTATCGAGGCAGGTGTCTGATAGTCGAATCCTAGGATTGAGATCACCAAATAATTCAATGTCTGAAGGAAGGTCATCTTTTGTGCTCTCCACGTGTAGCAATGACTTAACAGCTGGATCTCATGGTGGCTCTTCTGATGGCTGGTCCATGCGCACTTTTACTGAGCTTGTGGCCTCTTCTCAAAGAGAAAGGTGGTCTTTTGACAGTGAACACTTTGGTTCTGGTTATGGTAAAATAAGTGGATGTAGCAACAGGTTCTCATATTCTCCATCCATAGATATGAGAAATTGTGGGGCTTGCTCAAAGCTTTTGGCTGAGAGATCTTCATGGAGCTGCAATGAAATTTCAGTGGTTGCTGTACTTGTCTGTGGACATGTTTACCATGCTGAATGCTTGGAGATGATGACACCAGAGGCTGACAGATATGACCCAGCCTGCCCAATATGTATGGTTGGAGAAAAACAGTTCTCAAAGATTTCCAGAAAAGCTTTGAAAGCTGAAGCAGAGTTGAAGACAAAACATCTTAAGTTATTCAAGAATAGAGTTATAGATAGTTTTGTTGATGGTGGTTGTGATGATGTTGACCAACAAAAAAATGCCAAACGAGAAGGAAAAGCTCCAAAGTTGGAACCCAGTTCTAGCCGGAGAAGCTCCTTGGCAAAGCCTTTCTTGAAACGCCACTTCTCAATTGGGTCTAAGTGGGGCAGATCACTATCGGAGAATGATTCTTCCAGGAAGAAGGGCTTTTGGGTAAGATATCGAAAAGATCGAGTTCCCTAATGTACTGTCTTGAGGAGAGGGGCCTGTCCGTTTGATCATAAAAGTTTATCACTGTCAGTAAATATGCCTTTTTTTTTTCCCTCCAAAGGGTTTAAGAGAGAAGCTCACAGTATGCTCCGCAAGTCAGGCTTCCAAGTTCCAATGCAATCAAATCTAAATTTCTTAATTTAGAGATTCGTCTCGGTTTTTTAAGGTAATATACTATCCACAGGATAGCCATGGAAAATTTCCTACATTGACCTACCTTATAACTTGTGCCTCTTAGTGTTTTTTTTCTTTTTGTTGCCCATAGCCTAGGGCTGGGTAGGGCATGAATATGACCCAACTTTGAATTGGATCAGAATATAAGTGTGTAGTTTTAGAAATTTATATGTAATAACATATCAACTGGTGGGGTTTTGAGAGTTCAAAGTTCTAGGTAAGCTTGTTCTTTGTAGGTTTCATGCAAAGATGTAGCTGAATGTGGCCTAGCTTTTATATCTACATGCAATTCTGGATGACTGATCTAAAAGGAACCCATTGACGGATCAACTCAATGAAGCATTGAATTGATTGAGAAAATGACTACCAAGTATTTTACTGTCCTTTGCCTTCGAATTCTTCTTTGATTTATTGACATAATTTCTTGTACAATAGACTGTGCTCTTAGTGTCTTGGGCTGGAGTTTTTAAAGAATGAAGGACTTAACGTCATCCGAAGAGTCCTGTTATGTGTTAAAAGCTCATTTTTTCAGTTGCTCAAGTTAGCATAGTCAGAGTAACAATCTCTGTTTCAGTTGGCGTGCTTTGGAGAACAGAGATATGTATGGAATCTGCCATGTTTGGAGTGCCTAAAATGGGTTCTGCATTTGGTCAATTATGCTTTTTGCAATCGAGATTTATAGCTCGGATAAATAAGCTGCTCTCCTAGTTTATCCTTCATACGTGCATTAGAAACTCGTTTTCACCTTTTGAAGTTGCCTTTCTGAAAAAAAAGATTCAGCTCTCAGGAGAAGTGATTTCCTTGATCGCTTACGACTATGGCAACGAGGGCAGGAGGAAATTTTGAAGAAAATAATGGGTCAATCAAACAACCTCGGGCTAGCATCCATTACTGGACTCAAGCTATTGCCCAGAAAAATTACAACAGACACACTCAAATACCAATGGGCTGGCATCCACTAGTGGACCCAAAAACGTGCCTACAACAAAGTGGGCTCAGTGATAGACGAAGCCCAATTATCACAACAGGCACACTCAATACCTTGGGCTGGCCCCCATTAATGGGCTTATAACATTGAAAATGACCATAAACAGTTAAGCCCAAAAAGCACAGAAGATACGAATGTCATTTTGAAAAAGAAAACGATAATCTGACCCAATATTACAGTATTACTTCAACGAGGGGAGAGATATTTATTTTTTTAAAAATTTTAGATAATTCCATTAACATTTCTTTACGTAAATCTTCATGAAACTCATTACTACATTATAGACTGAACCAGACGGCCAAAAGTTTTTTTTTTTTTTGAAAGTAGGCAGTTGGCTTCAGCAATTTAATTATCTAAGATTCAAGAAATAAGATAATTAGGTTAGGTTAAAATTATTAAATTTCCATTTAATTGCCAAGAATAATAAGACTAATACTACACGTTACAATTAATTTTCATTTTATAATTTTTTTTTTCAAGTTAACCAAAATTTCCCACTTGTAACACTTAAACCTCTTATTATTATTATTGTTATTATTTAGTCACTTTAATTCATTTTTTTATACCAAAAAAATAAATAAATAAGAGGAGATTATCCTATTATAAAGTCAAAACATAACAACCTATATTAAATTTACAAAAGACCCTAATTAATTCTAATAAAATTCGAAGATGTATCTTATAATCGAAGTATTTGATCATTACTAATTTACTCAATCGTACAGGTTTCAATGCCGTTTCGCACTTTAATTCATTATTTTAAGACGCAGGATTATCGTTTTTGACATTATTTCTAGTCTTTAAGATCATGCCAACGACCACATTTATTTTATTTACTTAGAAGCATAAATGAAAACTATGTAAACCATATTTATTCTAATTCATTGTGACTTAAGAAGCACACCATTCGATACTTCAAGCATTTCCCAAATCCTCTGCATTAAAAATTGGCTGAAAATATGTTAAAAAAACTTGGATATAGAGTTTTTCCTTTTTTTTTTTAAAAAAAAAAAAAGAAAAGGCCTCGGTCGAAATTCAGCTTTAATTTAATTAATTAATTAATAGAAAAGATAAGTTGTCAGGATTTTATAGAATATATTTAGTATTTCAGGTATATTATAAAACACCATATAACAATATTGCAAGCAATGCAAGGCTTGCAATTAGCTTGACCAACTTGAGTGTTGCAAGGTATATATATACAAATATAATGGTAGCCTTTGGTAATATTTTTTATTGGTAAAGGCTTCACACGTGGTAAGAGATTTTTGGGTTACGATCATTTTTTTTTTTAATATCAATTTAATTGGATTTATTTAGGTCATTCATTAAGAATTATTTTTCACAATTTTTTATAATATTTGGTAATATTTAGATTTTTATCTTAATTTGTTCAGTGATAATTATCTTAAAAATAAGTCGACTTTATTTGATAAAAGATCAAATTTTTTATTTTAAGAAGGGTAAGTTAATTTAAAAGAAAAACTTTTTTTTCCATACATTCTTCCTATCTAATGCACAGCAATAACATCACCATGTACTAATAGTACTTGAAAGAAAAACCTTCAAATCCATTGAACAAAAAAATATATATATAGTTTTTCACTTTCAAAGCTATATATATATATATATATATATATATATATATATATATATCAAATAGACTTTGGTTTGAAAGCATAAGTTTGGCTGCCAACCAATCATCTGGAAAGTGCAATGCTTGGTGATGACGGATGATTTTGCTTTTGGAAAACCATACCGTTTATGGCATTGAATTTGAAGGAGAAAAAGAGGTCGGTCGTTGTTTGCGATCATACTAGATTGCATCTCCTTGCTTTTAAGTCTGGTTGGGGATACTTTTGAAAGCTTTTTCTCTGGATTTGTATTGTTGGGGTACTTTCAGTTTGGAGCAAAAGTAGTGGAAGAAGGCATTATAACATGGGAGACGATGTTGTCGATTTGATTGTGTTGGGAGTGATCTCATGGACGACAGTTTTTGTATTAATTAGGAAAATCTTCTCCAAACGCTCCTTTGAATTCTGCAACCGCATCGTTTCTACAATCCATGCAATTTTAGCCGTAATATTAGCCTCGCTCACTGTTGAAGATTGGAGCTGCCCCGTTTGTCCTTCGGCTTCAAACTCTCCTCCTAAGCAGGTATGTACAAGCAGGTTCTTTTGATATCTTTGGAAATTGGAGAGATCTTTTGGAATTCTTAATCTATTTATCAGAGCTTAAATGGTGGAATATTGTGAATTCTGAGTTTCCAGCAGAGGCAAACTTTGGCTGTGACCATCGCTTATCTTATCTATGACCTGATATGCTGCCTCTTTGGCGAGAGAGTCAGTCTTGACAACACAGTTCACCACTTGGTCAGCATCGTTGGTCTTGGAGCTGGTCTTGTTTATCAAAAGGTGTTCACCTTTATATTTGGAGTTTATTTTTTTGTTCTTGTCTGAAAACTTTTCTGGGTATTTTGGTTCAGCTTAGTTTGAAACATATTTAGAAGAGTTACTAGATTTCCAACTTTTTTTTTCGAGTTAATTTGATGAAATCAAAATCCCAAGTTTGTAAACAATGCTAGAGGATTAGTCTCTGTTAATCCACATATGCTTTCAACGCGATTCTCTCCAGCAAAACCAATCACATGCATCAGTTTTGTTTGTTTGTTTGCAGTGTGGATCAGAGCAGGTTGCTGCGTTATTCATAACAGAGATCTCAAGTCCTTTCCTCCACGCCAGGGAGCTGCTTAAAGAACTCGGTTACAGGGACACTGACCTCAATTTAGCAGCCGATGTCAGTTACCAAACTCCTTTTTTTTTTTAGTTGTATTTTGTTTCGTTTGCATCTAGCGTTAAAGGGAACAATTATTAGCCATTTAACTTTTAATTGTTTAGGGGGCAACCTCTCTGAGTTTTCAAATAGTATTTAAATACTTTGTGCAGTCATGTTCAAAGTCGACAAGCTCAAAGGTGGTTTTATCTTGAACAGATCACATTTGCTGTAATATTCTCAACGGCAAGGATGGTGGGTGGACCCTATCTCACTTTCGTGACTCTAACAGCTAATAATCCGATACTTATCAAGGTATATTACTTGTAACTTAATTTTTCCCAAATCAATAAATTAATATTAATTAAATGGCCACACCTTTCTGATCTCTGTGTTACTCAGGCAATGGCCCTGGGACTGCAGTTTGTCAGTGCTTTCTGGTTCTACAAGATTGTAAAGATGGTGAAATACAAGCTTACTAATAATAGAAGGAAGAAGGTGATTTCTAGTCCCCTGCATAGGGAAAATTGGACTAAGCCTGTACTACTCCCTAGTTTTACCAAGATGGATTGATAGACGATTGTGTTGAATATTATGCTAAATAAACATGCGCATCTTGTGTGATGTACTAAATTTAATTTCTAAAATCCCATTATCCAGAGTGAAATAATTCAATTTCCTGCAACATGCAAGGCTCCATGATACAATTGTCTGGAGGGTTCCCAGCTGTAATTATGCCAACATTGTTAAGCCTTTTGTCATGAAAGCTGTAATATTTAAACTACATCCCGAATTTCTTGAACAAGTTGATAAAGCGAACATTTGACTTGAGCAAATTAGCCACATCGAAAATATAATGAACTGCCCAGTACTCTATGGCTTCAAGAAGAACAGAAAAGCTCTAGTCTTTCCCAAAATCAGCACTGTAGTGTGCACTAGATTCCAGTTTCTTGGCTTCGTTCAACTTTCTTACTGCCTGCAATTTCATCACATATAAAGAGAAGTGAGCACACCATCACCAACTGTCCAACTATGTTTTTCCCAATTGTTATGTCAAAATAGTAGAAAATCCTTCACTCCAGGAAATCTTTCAAGTTTCCAGTTTCTACCTTCATGAAATCTTCGTGGATGACATAATCACGTTCTGCACGAATTGCTGACATTCCAGCCTCCGTGCAAACATTTCGTAGATCAGCACCATTAAAGCCCTAAAACAATGGTGACAAAAACGATATTAGCAATGAGGAATACAGGAATGAAAAAGAAAAGAAACAAGCCACCTTTGACTAACCTCAGCAAGTTTAACAACAGCCTCATAGTCAATTTCACCGTGCTTAGCTATGCCCGCAGCATGAATCTTGAGGATTTCCATTCTTGATTGCTCATTTGGCAATGGAATTTCTATCTTTCTGTCTAACCGCCCAGGACGAAGAAGTGCAGGGTCAAGTACATCAGGTCTGTTTGTAGCCATGATCATTTTAACCTACAAAAAACAAGTTGATAATGATTTTCCCACATTAGGAGAACGTAAAAGCAAAACTGTGTAGTGGGCAGCAATGAAGGATGATTGAAAGAATTCGAGTTCCAGACCATGGAAATGCAATAAATTAAAATACATATAATTAAAGCCACCAGCCATGCACTTCACAATATCAACAGGTAACAAGGAGATGTTATGATGCTGCAGTAGTCAAAGTGGAACGTGCACCTAACTGGAGAAAGCAGTGATTAACGGCACCTAGAAGTTTACTATCACAAAACAAGCTACCACAGTTACCCCATTCTAAACATGTTTTGTGAGGAAAACCACGAAAAAGTATAAACTACTTAACTATGGCATGTAGGGACGCTGTTGTAAGTGCAAGAATATTTTCTTCAAATCACAATCTTGAACTATGTTCATGAACAAAATAATGTACCTTCCCAAGCTGATCAAATCCATCAAGCTGATTAAGTAACTCCATCAGTGTTCTCTGTATTTCACGGTCAGCACTTGTTCCTTCACTGAAACGGCGTCCGCCAATGGCATCAATCTCATCCATAAAGATGATGCATGGCTGAATAAAAAGAAACAAACATTAGAATATTATTAACTGTTATAAAGAAGCAAAAAAAATAAATAAATAAATTCAAAACTCCAAGTCCTCACTTGGTGATCACGTGCATATCCGAACATTTCTCGTATCAGCCTTGCACTTTCTCCAATGTATTTGTCAATTATTGCACTCGAAACAACCTGAATTCAGATGAGAAAAAGGTAAATGCATTCATTCAAGGACAAGATACAATGCCAGAGAAAACCACAAAGGAAAGACACATGGTACATAACTACTGGACCTTTAAGAAGTTAGCATCAATATTACTTGCTATTGCTCTGGCTAACAATGTCTTGCCCGTACCAGGAGGTCCATAAAGGAGGACGCCCTGCAATGAAGACAAGAAATTTCACATGATTCTCAACCAAACATCACTTCACCACAATGTGCTTCACCCATCAATATGCACACAAGCACACTCTTTGAGACTCCAGAATTGAGACAGCAGAGACAGGAAGCAGTAATCACCTTGGGGGGTTTAATCCCAACTCTAAGGAAAAGCTCAGGATTCATGAGAGGGAGCTCAATGGATTCCCTCAGCTCTCGAATTTGATCAGATAAACCACCAACAGCCGAGTAGCTAACATTACCAGGATCTTCATGCAACATGTTGTAAACAACTGGATCAACCTGTCATCCAAAGAAATGTCATGATATCAGACAGCTGCCAAGAAAACTTGCTTTTATATCATAAATACAGCGGACTAATAGAATGCTAATAACTTACTTCACGTGGAAGAGCCCGCATGATCGTAAGTGTTGTCATGTCAAGAACCACTCTAGTTCCTGAAGTCAGTTTCTCCTTATCAACTTTGCTGCGGCAACCAACCACATAGCGAGGGCCACTGCTCGCCTTAACAATCACTGAAACACCATACAAACATCCAATTTTATAGTTATTTATCAATTCTAAAGAAAAATGCATCAAAAAGCAGCCTAAAATTCAAATGCAACTACTCAAACACCATACTATCCAATTCTACTAAAAGGAACACATAAATGAAGTTTATAAGTTTGTAATCCAAGTATGGAACATATTTAGCCACTTGGACTAATGTACAAACATCAACACTAAAAGAAAGAGGGGAGAAGGGGTAGTTACAGCGTTCATTATCAAGAGGCCTGAGAACTTCTCCAATGATCTGTCCAACACTCTGAAGAGACTTCAAATCGTCCTCTGTTTTGTTAAACTCCTTCTTAGCGGCTCGCAGATTCTCCCTACCTGAACATTCAAGAGTATAACTACATGTCAAAAACAATCTAATATATGATCTAATATTAATCAGAAAGATAAAGATTTGGTCTTCAAACAACTAATTCACAATGTGATAGCCAATGCCAAAAGCATTCCTCTATTTTGTTTCTTCTTCCTCTTTTATTTTCTCAGAAAGTCAAAATTTTAAAGTCATCATCAACAAAAGTAATAAAAAAACAAAAACAAAAATCAATTATCAGCCCAAGTGGAAGACATTGAAAAGAATAATTTCAATTGAAAACAAAGTAATTATCTATGGCGGCAATCAAAGCTTAAAGCTTTTCTGGCTAATTTTTACCTACTCAAGCTATCTCTACAAAGAACAGAAAAAGAAGATAACTTTCAATGCAGCATATTTTTAAATCACTTAAAGCAAAAGAAAGAAGGTGATATAACCGACAAAGAAACCAAAACGGAAAAGCAAAACCCTAAAAGCCTAAATCAGGGAAACAAAGAAAAGAATAGTTCGAATGCAAAATAAAACGCAGATCGAGGAAAAGAGAAAACTGGCCGCAGATTAGGGTAAGATGATGGGGATTATGAGATCAGATGGGACCTGTTCGAACCCTAGATTCGTAGTCTTTGTGTTGAAGGAGTTTCTTCCGGTACTCCGTAATCGCACTACGGCGTCGTACGTCGTCTTCTCCCTCGCTCATTGTCACAATCTCTGATCAGAGATCAAAATCGTTTGGTTTTGAAGAATGCTTTGTGGGCTTTTCTGAGGTTTCTTGAGTAAGGGGTTGTGCGAGTTGGGACTATTTGTAATCTCTGCTGCGAGTAAATGTAATTTAAAGCCGCCTGTGCAAGAAATTCCTTTTTCCTTATTTAGTATTTTAGCGAACATAACATTTGAAATAACAAAAATATTATGATGATCATAATTCGATTTTATTTGAATTAATTAATTAATTAAATTAAATTTTATTAATTAATTAATTATTAAATTAATTTTGATTGATTATTAACAATAATTTTTAAAAATTTTTAATTTTTAAATTAATTAGATTTAAAAATTAAATTAATCAAAATCATAACAAAAATATTGTAAATTATATATATATAATTAGAAAAATAAAATTATTATTTTATTTTAAGTTATTAAAATTTTTAATTTAATTTTTTAATATTTAAATATTTTTATTAGATAATTTTATTTAATTTTATTACATATAAAATTTTAATTTTAATTTAATTTAATATATTTTGTTATTCAATTAATTAAAAATATTAATTTAATTAATCAAATTAATTTAAAATTATTAATTTTTAAAATTAAAAAATTTGAATCCATTAATAAAAATAATATAATATAATTTAATTCGATATTAATAAAATTCCTATCATCCAATTTTTTGGATTAATAGATTGAGTGGCTTGGGTTTGTCTCGCTATCCCATTTAGTGGGCTGGATACTTCCCATCCAATTGTTGGTCCATGTATAATAATAAGGGTTTCTTTTAATTTAAGAAACAACCATTCGTGCCCTGAAGTTTTATGAAAATTACATTAATCTTCTTGATGTATTATTTATTAAAATAAATTTAATGAAAAAAAATAAATGTTGTCTTTTTTTACTCAATTTTTAATAATTTTTGTCATTTAAAATTATATAAGTAAATAACACTTTAAAGAGGTTAATGTATTTTTAACCACTTTCGAAAATAAAAAAAATATTTTTTCAATTAAATGGGTAAGATTATATTTTATGAAATCTTTGGACATATATACTTTTTTCATAATAAATATAATCCCAAAATCGAACTTTACCTTAAAAATTAAATTAAAAACAAATAAACCATAAATTATCATTAAAAAATTTATATTTTATTTAAATAATTAATAAAAAAATTTATCACCATATCATATATCGTTACATTATTTTGAAATTGAATTTATTTTAATTAAACATCCAAATAAAGCATAATATAGGGAAAACTCCTAAATGGTGGAGATAATAATGAACTCTGATTTATTCTCTAAACATTACAAATCTTACATCCTTACTTTTTTTAAAATGTAATTTAAGGTTAAAACTCAACCAACCCTTACAATTGAATGATTAACTCTCGTACATAAATAACCATTTACCATAAAACTTACTACTTTTTTAGTTAACTAAGCGACAATTCTTCCTAACTTCACCATTAAATCCAGTTAGAGGACTGATGCTCCCCATCTTAATCATTGACTTGGCAAATTGTTCAAAGAAGAGATTCTCATCCTCTGCATAAGCTTTAACCAATTCCATGGTATTTCCAACATTCCCTGTCAAAAGCACTTCATCCGAATTGAGTAGTCCTTTTCCCCACAGAATAAGCTTGAAGTAAAGGTTATCAAATTTTACTGGGGACCCAAAATCCAAAGGTGAAATGTTGTTGTCACCACCAGAGCTCGGACAGACAGATTTCAAGCCATAGTAGTAGGTTTTTTCTAATGTCTCATCTGGCAGGTTGTTTCCATTTTGGTTGTATAGCCTCTGCTTGAAGGTCACACACCTTGCTACCCCAATGGTATGTCCTCCTAAAACATTATTACATTTTCAAATGAATAAAGCCATTAAGTTAATTAAGACGATTTTGCATCTGAAAAATGTCGACAATGATTAACCTGAGAGTGCGACGAGGTCCACTTCATCAAGACCTTGACGCTGGAAAAGTGTTATCAGGTTCTGAAGAGTAGAATTTGGTGGTGGGATGTTGTTGTTTGAGGTGCTGAGGCTAGCCGTCTTTGAGTCCCTCCTTCCCAGTGGAAGCTCCCAAGATGGTCCACCGCTCTGTTTCGACATAGGAACTAATCTTAGTTCGCATTACTAAAACAAAGTAATGTTGAATCACCCTTACGAGTACCCTGGAGCTCTTTTCATGCTTACCAATACAGTGGAGCCACGAGCAGCCATAGCAAGTATGTCAGCGCAAGAAACAGTTTGAGGACATGCTTCTTCTAGCTTAGCCTTGATCTCATCAATCACTTCAAACCCTCTAATGGAGTTCCTGTTTGGTAATGAGTTCTTTTCACTGACTATAGTCGCACTATCGTCTAACAATACGGATGCATCGCAGCCCTGTAAGATAAAAGAGTTGGTGGAAGCTTGAAATAATTTCACGTTTTATTCTCACCAATAATATAAAAATTATACATATTGCGTCTGAACTAGTAACATAAAAGCAAGTAACCTGCACAAAACAATCGTGGAAATGAAGCCTTAGCAAGGAGGCAGCCATCCTAGGCTCGTTAGCAATTGCCTTCTCCAGCACTGACATGACAATATCCTCAGCTTGAGGGCATGAAAACTGATAGAACTGCGGGTAAAGGCCATAGGAGGGAGGACCAAATTGGCCGCCTGGGACACCACCGCCCCCCCAGCCAAAACCCATACCAGGGTAAGCCAGGGAGAGTGTGGCGGAGACGAAAGCTGTTAGTAGGAAACCAAAAGCAACTTTTAAGAAAGCCATTGATGATTTGAATTAGTCTTAGAGATACAGAGTCATTGGTTAGCAATGGAATTTATATTGGTTGTAGTCATCAAATCAACATCTCTCCTCACCAAATCCTCTCGAAAAAACACCTAATATGGATAGCCACGACCGTGTCAACTTGTCTTGACGCTTCTTTTTGTCACTCGAAGTGTAAGCAACAGATAGTGGAGTGGAGGCAGTGCTTCTGGTTTTACCTGCTCCAAGAACAAATTACTTTAAATTTAAAAATTTAAACACAACTACAGTAGTCTGGAAACAAACATCGTAAAGGTGGATCATTTACATGTTGATGTTGAAAGACCCAGTAGGCAGTAAAAGGTAATTCAAAGAGGAAAGATGACGTACAAGTTGAAACTTTCAGGTACCTGAGTGGTTAACCTGCTGCCGTGAGACCATTGAACCATCGTGGTAAGATCTAATTTCATGGCTTATTTCATAATAAGATAAATATTCTAACTTAAAATCAATTAATTTGAATATAAAATTATAAAAAATTATATATTTATTAAATATAAGATAACATCTTATTAACATACCTCCATCACATATAAGTAGAGATAAAAAAAATCTATTACATGATATCATATTAAATATTTATCTTAAAATCAATTAATTATAAGTGAAGAGATTTAATTTGAATATAAAATTATAAAAAATTATATATTTATTAAATAAAAATAATACTATTTTAACACGATTCTATCACGTGTAGCATGTAACTTAAAACTAATTTATTATAAGTAAAAGAGTCTAATTTGAATATAAAATTATAAAAAATTAAATATTTATTAAATATAAGATAATATTATTTTAACAGATCACGTGTAGATAAAAAAAATTTATTATATAAAAGACTTTTATCACGTGTAGATAAAGATAAAATGATAATAAAAAAAATCATTAATATTATATTAAATATTCAATTAAAAATTAATTAATAATAAATAAATAAGTTCAACTTAAATATAAAATTATAAAAACTTAAATATTTATTAAATACCAGCTAACGTTACACTGACATATACTTGTGGTTTAAGGGCGAGAAATCCGGTATCTCAGATTCTCACAGAAAAACTGCAATTTTCTTGTGGAATTAGAATTCCATTCGTGGGTCTCAATGTTAAGGGTACAACTATACAAAGCTTCATACTCTACATACAATATACACTGGTCCTTGGGCAATGCTGCACTGAACAAGCGCAGCTCTTTCCCAATCCCCCTTCTTTCTCCCTCTCTTTTTACCCTTGAAATCTATTAAAGTTAATTGCATTTTAGTCAACAAGTACACCAATCATGAATTACATGCATGAATGAAGTATTGAAAAGGTCATGAAACACTGAAGAAAGCTGGAGTTGATTTACATAACTTCCTCATTGGGGTAACCAGCCTTGCAAAATGAAGAGGGACAAATGCATTGACCATTGTCCCATTCTCGGGATATTCCTGCAAAATGAGGGAAAGATATATCAGAAAATAGCAAAATTAGATTGGTTTAACATTTAGCTAAGTTCTGCAGTTTTCTTCACCATTCCAACCTGATGGATGGTACTGAGACACTCCCCTTTGTCAAACGAGACTAAATTACGTATATTGAATATAAACATATAATAATTGTCTCATAACTTCCAACCTTTTAGATAAACAAAAAATAATCAATGGTATGTTACCTGAAGGGTTTTTTTTTCTGTTTGACCAAACAGTTTTGGTCAAAACTAAAAAATATATATAATTTTCATCTTTTAAAAGGTGGTTGTGGATTAGATAGAATCCCATGATTCACGCTCTTAAATGACACATAAACACTTAATCACCCACCCAAAAAGTAAGTTTATTAAAAAATAGAGAAAGTTACCAAAATTTTAGTATAAAAAGGAAAAAAAAAAGCTTTGTTAGACGTTAGCCGCTGGCGTATACAACATACGCATGGAAATAACGTGTGAGTTTGTCAGTCTCACCAACTGCAAAGTACAGCTAACACTTTCCTCTTCTAACATTTTCATTTTTAATTTTGTTAATAATAATAACAATAATAATAACAACAACCATAGATGCTTCCTACACTTTGGACAACAAGAAAGAGAAAGCAAGAAAGGAAAGTCACCATTTTTATGCGTTAAAAGGAGGCTTAAGGGTCTACCAACTGGTAGTTAGATTTTGAACTCTCTTAAGCAATGAATGAATGAATCAAACAACAACCTTTTTTTTATTTCATTTTGCAAATTCCTTGCTTTTAAACAACTTTCTAAATTTTCCCAAAAAGATAAAGGAAAACAACCCTCAAAAATTGCCTTTTGTTCTTGTATTGATTTTTTTTCTTTTTGTTACACGTGGGATTCCTGAAAGGATTGACAAAGGGAACTGTTTGTTCTTGGTATTCTTATTCCTTATTATCATCATCATTTGTTAGAATAAAATATTACAGTTGTTGTCATCAATAATTTCTTTATTTGTATTGAGTGGAATTATTTAATAATATTTCTTGGGTTGGTGTCAATGTTCCAATGATAAGGAGGTTCGTTACGTTTGGGATTATATCTCTTTGGGATTGGTTTTTGTCTCTGCTATTTTCAAAGCTTCGTTCTTTCTGCTCCCCACTGCAGGCGCAGCTTCTCTTTGGGGGGCTTTCAGGTATTTCACTTTTAACTTTATTTCTTTTTTTTATATATATAATTTATTTTCTCCACTTCTCCATCCTTTGCTTTGTTTTCTGAGAGTTGTAATGGTTGATTGATTGAAGACTGTTGTATGTTTTAAAAAAGTTGTTTTTATCTTTTGGGGTTGAGTACATGATGATGCTGAAATGAGGACAACTTCAAAGCTTCTGCTTTAGGGGTTTCTGTGGTTCAATGTATTTTTGAGCTTCTTCTGGGTATTGGTTGATTCGGTTTTTTGTTCATTATGCTTTTGATTGTGGTTGGTTTATTGGCAATTAAATTGTTTTTCTGAGTTTGACAGTGATGTTTCTGTTTTCTGCACCAGTGGATATTTCATGATGATGATGGTGATAGACTGATGGTGGTGATGATGAAAATCCTAAAAGAAAAAGTTGTACTTTTTTCCTTTGAAAACCTTGGATTTACTGCTCTTAAATGATTTTGGCTTACCTTTTGATAACTATGATTACCTGAGTCCGTTTTTCCTCCCAAGAATATCTGAATTTAAGCTTAGATAGGATTTTGCTGTTTCTCTAATTGAATTGATGCAAGATAGTAGTGTCTAAATACAAATTTAACTAAGGGATGATCTTCATAAAGTGATAAGGAAGCTTAAAATAGAAGAAAAAGAAATATTCCCAAAGATGAAGGGTTTTTTCTGGCCATTAAAGATGAAAGATATTTAGTTTTAGTGAATTTACATGTTTTGTGTACCTTGTTCATTTGTTGAAAGAATATTTATGGTTAATCTTGGGGTTTGGTTTAATGTGGTGCTTAGGTAATTATTATTTTGCCTTTTTTTGTTATTATTAAACTCTTTTTCTTAGCTTTTTCATTTTTGTTTGGAGAGACAAGTGTCTGGATGCAATTCAATTAGTTGATAGAGATTTGGGTTTTGTTTTGTTGGGGATTTCTCACAGTCGATCCTGTTTAAACTTTAGGGCACTACAAAACTTAATTCAATACCTTGTTGCTGAACTTTCATGCCATCGGCCAACATGTCATTTGCACATGGCTGTTGTGGTGTTTCTGCTCTTTTGAATCCTAAATTCTTTGGAAGAGATTACCTGAGCTAAGAACAATGATGCTAGGATCTTCCTTTGAATTTGTTGATAGGATTTGTAACTTTGAAAGATCTCTAATATATGTTATCATGGTTTTTGTTTGATCAGGATCTATTAGCTGATCACTGTTTTATTGGGAGGTAGCCATTTTTAGCAGTTATAAACTGGTAATGCTTTATCATTCCTCTTGTGCTAAACATAAGGAAGCGAATTATGGCTACTTATCATCCAAGTTTTAGCTATCAAAGAGACGATTTATCAATTACATATCTGGGGGACCAAAAGCCTGCCTCTTACATTGTATCGTCTTCTCATCCGGGTAACCCAACAATATATCTGAACGAAGCTTCTTCTGCTGGGGCATTCTCAGAGATCTCGTCTGGGATTTCTATGTCTCTACAGAACTGTGTTCAAATTCCATCTATTGGTGGTAGAAATGAAATGTCATTCATTCCATCCTCAAGTGATACCGTGTGTTCGCAATCTGTTGATGGGCAGTTAAATATTACAACAAGCAATTCTATATGCAACCCTGCTACTGTGAATCCCCTTGCAATAGCAAGGAGCGTTCTGGATGAACAGAGTTCTCAATCTCAGGGACTATCTCTAAGCCTTGGCTCACAGATATCATCTGGAGTTTCTGTACCTTCATTTCAGTATCAACAAGATTATTCTTCAGTCTTTAGTGGTCATCTTCCATTTTCAGGAAAGGTAGCAATTCCTTGTGCTGGTGAGGAAAGCAAAAGAAGTAAAGAGTTGAAAACTTCTGATGACATGCAATTTGGCTTTCCTGGAGGCAACCATGATGCATTTGAGACAGATACTTTGTCTAACCCTCAGGGCTCAATAAGTCACAAACAGATGCATTCTGATATATATCAATTTGAATCAGGTTTTGCAAGTACTATTTTAAACTCCAAATATCTCAGGGTGGCTCAAGAGTTGCTTGATGAAGTGATTAATGTACGAAAAGCTTTGAAACAGCCTGATTTGGATAAAAATGTAAGCTCTCAACCGAATCCCTCCAGTGGGATGTCATTGGAACCTAATGAGTCAGTTAACAACTCCTCTTCTGAGATATCAGCTATAGAACGACAAGATTTGCAGAACAAGAAGACAAAACTCTTGTCCATGCTGGAACAGGTGAGCATCCGCTTCCATTGTGTCATGCAGTTCCTTTTTCTAATTTTTATTTGGTTTGAATAATTTCTTTGGCTGGTATGCCTGCCTTTGTTGTGCTTCTTTTTTTATTTTGGTTTCACTTTTCTTGGTGATTGCTTTTCTTTGATTACATGATTCTCTTCTTTCTCACATTTTGGAAACTGTCTTATGTGTTTTAATTGAGCTGTAATTGTTCTGAAAGATTGCTAATGGTCATGCTTTTGTTATAGGTTGATAGAAGGTACAGACAATACTACCATCAAATGAAAATTGTGGTGTCTTCTTTCGACATGGTAGCTGGTTGTGGGGCAGCTAAACCGTACACTGCACTTGCCCTACAGACAATTTCCTGTCACTTCCGCTGTTTGCATGATGCAATCACTGCTCAAATTCAATTGACTCAGAGAAGCCTTGGAGAGAAAGATAATTCATCAAACAATCAAGGAGGAGCGATACCTCGGCTCCGCTATGTGGAACATCGGCTCAGACAACAAAGAGCTCTACATCAGCAACTTGGTGTGATGCGACATGCTTGGAGGCCTCAAAGAGGGCTTCCTGAAAGCTCTGTTTCAATCCTTCGTGCTTGGCTTTTTGAGCATTTTCTCCATCCGTATGTGCTTGGATTCTTGTTGTGCTTATGTTACTAGCTAATACCGAGAACTTCAGTTTGCTAACCCTTTTTGAATTTGTTGTTGAACAGTTACCCGAAGGATTCAGAGAAAATCATGCTCGCAGAACAGACAGGCCTGACCAGAAGCCAGGTAAATAGATGAAATGCAATGATCTGACCTGTAAATCATTAGTATCCTAGTTGACTTATTGTATCATTGACATGCATTGTTAATTTTGATATCCACCTATCAACTAACCAGCCAATCAAAACCTTAAGTTTATTACTCCTACCAAAAAAAAATGTATATCATTAATTAGCAGCACATATCGTAAAGGAATTAATCTTTTGAGCTTTTCTCTGATGTGGGGAGTCCCTGCACATGCTTTGCTCACATGTCATGTTGAATAATTCGTTCATCTATTTAATGCGTTTTTCTTTCCACTTGTAAGCACTATTGCTAATGGTTTGTTTGGAGCAGGTTGCAAACTGGTTCATCAATGCGAGAGTGCGTCTTTGGAAGCCCATGATTGAGGAGATGTACAAAGAAGAGTTTGGTGAAATGGACTCAGACTTCAAATCTTCCTTAGAAAATGCAGCCAAAGCAACTAGAGAAAATTCTACAGCATCCGAGGATAGGGGAGAAGAATTGCAAGAGAGTATGACATCCAAAGTTGCTGATACTGATAATGTTCAACTGGGACAAGTTCAACACATGAAACCTGGTCATATCCCAGATTTAGAACTGAACAGGCCTATTGCAAGATCAATGTTTCAAAATATTGCTATAGGAGATACGGGCTCACCTACTGGGATGAAATTACAAGTTGACCAGATGAGTAACATGGAGAGCAATAATCTTTATCCAGATACAGTAATCCCATCCAGCCCGCATGGTCATGGTATGCTTATGGCTTGTGATTCCATGTATGGTTTAACAGAATTGAGTAGTTTTTCTGTTGGTGGTCAAGTGTCGCTTGCACTTGGTTTAAGGCATCATGAAAATGATATCTTTCCCATGTCTGGAGAGACCAATATGAGAGCTAACAACAAGGTGGCTTCTTCTGTGGTACCAGAGACAGTGGACTTTCATTGCGCGGAACCAGGAAATCAACAAGACAGGTTTGGAAATCCCCATATATTACATGATTTTGTAGTCTGAAGAATGTCCACCTCAAGGTTTATGGACGGGGACACCTAATTGTTGGAAATGGCTAACTTGATACAATGACAAACCAAAACAGAAAAAGCAAGCCTTGAGATGTTACTTTGGGATGGCTGGTTCTATGTGTTTCGTGTTCGAGTAGATGAGAAAGACGAAGCATTGTCATGATAGAATATAGATATGGGTTATGGATATATAATACCCATTTGTAACATACAAATAGATCGGTGTAGTAGGTATATACATCTGTAAAGATATGGTAAGAAAGATTGGTATAGCTTCTGTTGTCTGCTGAATAAGGATTCTTGTACAAGTAATCATAGGTGTGATGTTGATTTATCCTATTTTGGGAATAAATGTGATTAGAAATAATTAGTACATAAGCCAATGAGAATCCAGTGAACATTGGATACTTAATTTGTATTAATATGTGTTATTAACAGACAAGTATGCAGGAACATTTTGTCATATCTGTGCAGAATTATGGAATCCTGGTAAGCGTGGCACCATAAACAAGTTTATAAATGGTCGAGTTCAGACTATGGAAGCATATGATAGAAGAAATGAACAAAGAAGAGTTTGCAGAATCTGATCCATCATCAGCTAGCAGTTCTATTGGCGGGGAAGGTACCACAGATCAAGCTGAGGATTGAAGGATAAGCAATGATCACTTTTGCCAGAACGCATCAACGCTACTAACCCTTTTGTTTTTGTAACCAAGGTTACTATACTAATCAGATTGTACAATGCTCTTTCAGGATTTGATTTTGAAACTAATTAGGTTCAAAATTCCGGACTCAAATGCATATTTGAAGCTTAATGGTGGAACTGTGGAGTTTAGCTCTCATATTTTTCTCATGGCACCGTATGATATATTGAATTCAGTTTTGACATTTAAATTCTATTGTTGTTGTAAAGAAAACAAAAATTTTATTGGAAGAAAATTGGATAGAAATGAACATACAACTCACTTTATACCTTTTCTTTTTCTCTCTTTTTTTAACTATTACAAGTTTTGAACTGAAAATTTCAATTATGGATCCAACTTCAATATCATCAAACTAACAATTTATGAAAAATATTTATATTAATTTAATAATTAAAATTAACTCTAAGCTCACATTAAATATTATCATGCCTAAATCAATTACTCAACTATCAAAACTTAATAAATGCACTAAGATCCTCCATATTATATAAACAAAACATACCCAAATAAACACATCACCTACTCTAAAGGAATAATTTACCACCTATCCAAGAGAGTCATTTCGAAATTGACTATGACCATCAATTTATTTTGTATCATTAAATGTCATTCTAAAATTATTAAATGCAACTAATACCTATATGAAATTATTGAATATAATTTTTATCTATTTATGTTAAATATCTAAGAATTTCACATAAATATTTTTTCAACTATCAATTATCTTAATTAGATAATGATTTCTTATATCAAAAAAAAAAAAAAAAACAGACACACAAGACAATTGGGGTAGAATTAATTTCTCTTGAGAAAGCACACTGCACTTTTTCAACATCTTAGTCTTGTTACCAAAAACAAACCATAGATAATATATTGATTTTAGTGTCGGTGCGCTCCGGAGTGACAATTCCAATGCTCCCTAATCATTCTTTCTTTTTACAAATTACAGCTCTCGTTTCCCTCGACCTCATTTCCTTTTTCTTAACTAAAACAGACCACCAACAAAATATCAAATCATAGAACCAGAATTAAATATGATTATAGCAACAAACATTCCACCGACAAAAAAAAAAAAAAAAACCTTTCCTTTTCCTTATTAATAAAAATAAAAAAAATTTTAGGACATTGAACAAAATTACAAGTGGCAAACATAAGGAACTTTACGGAATCCTATTCCCTCGCCCCAAAAGTCAACGTGATTGGGAAATACATCTAAAAGCAAATTGTCCCATGCCACGTGGAAAATCACAGGGTTCCATATCTCAATCTCCATAATCTTTAGAGAAAAGTTTTCTAGATCGTCCGATTCAGTAAGATTTCTCTCAAAATTCTCCACCAATCACACGTAATTCACATTTCTTTCTCGTCAAACAAACAATACAGAATTTTGCCCTTCCAAAGGAAAACAACTAGACTGGCTTGGTGTATAAAATAGACCAAACGCCACCGTCTTCTCTCTCTCTCTCGTGCGCGGAAGTCATGACAAGCTCCTCCGCTCATTCACGCAAGGTTGTTATTTCTTTTTTTTTTTTCCGATTTATTTACGTTACTTATTTGCCCTAGTTTCGGTTGCGTCTGTCGAATTTCTTTTTTTTTTTTCATTTAATTTCTTTTTTGTTTTTCTGTTTGTTTGATTTTTTGACTCTTTTTTGGGGGAGTATGTCTTTGCGTAGGCTTTAAGCAAGATCGCTTGTAATAGACTCCAGAAAGAGTTAGTTGAGTGGCAGGTTAACCCACCTGCCGGATTCAAGCACAAAGTGACTGATAATCTCCAAAGGTTTTTTGTTTACTCTTTTAATGAACCTTATTTCGTTAAATCTCTGGATAGTTCTCTTAATCGATGGATTAATTCTGGATTTCGGTCTTTAATTGTTGGATTTGTTTGTGGAAAGATGGATAATCGAAGTCAACGGAGCCCCTGGAACGCTTTATGCTAATGAAACTTATCAGCTTCAGGTTGATTTTCCTGAGCACTACCCTATGGAGGCACCACAGGTACCCCTTCCCCTTTCCTTTTCCTTTCTGTTTTGTTACTGAGTAAATGAAACGATAAGTAACAATTGAATGAAAATCATTTTTTTGCCTTTATTAAATCATTATATAAATTACTCTGATTGATCGCTGTTGTGAAGATTATGGTATTCTTTTGTTGATTGAGCAGGTGATTTTCGTCCCGCCGGCTCCGCTGCATCCTCACATTTATAGCAATGGACATATTTGTTTAGGTATTGGCTAGTGTTAAATTTTGTTAATCATCACTAGACTCGTAACTTGTTAAAGCTAATTTGTTGTTTTGCTTGTCGCTAACTACAATTACTTTTAAACAATTAGTCTTTTTAATCTTATTGCTTGAAGTTTGTATCATGTTCACTGCTGATAATGAATGTTGATTCGTAAAGTTTGCTGATTATTTGTAATCATAAAAGTAGTTGTTCCTTTTGACATATCACTTTGAATTGCTTGCCTGCCCTCTCATCTTTCTTGAGAAAGTGCAGTCAGTAGTCATGTGGTTTAAGTATAAAACAATTTTGATTCTAGTGATAGATTTTAAGAAATGGCATACTGCATGAGTGGAAGCTCCTCTAGTGTGCCAATGATGTAGCATTCAATTGGTGCTTTCACTGGATGTAAAACTAACTATATGATGGATATAGCAACTTTTATCACTGTTAATAGTAGTTCTCAGGCCAATTATTTATATTTTTTAATTGGACTCATACACTTCTGCTGTGCTGTTGTCATTCTCATTATTTCTTTTTCTACTCATGCTGTGATTATATCAAGATTCAATCAAAACTGTCAAGGAGATTTCTGGTGCTGAATACTTTCTCACGAAACATCAAAAAATAATTATACCGTCACAGAGTGATACGCTATAAATTTCCTCAAGTCTGTCTTTTAAAGGTGACTAGCTAGAGAGGTTATGAAATTTTTTGTTGCTGTCTTATGCTTGGAGACACTCTAGCTGGTATGTTACTGGTTGTGGAAGATGTCTAAGAGATGTTAGTCATTTAATGGAAATATTAGTAGAAAAAATATGTACTGATAGGTCATAGTTTACACTTAAAGTGTCATATTGTTAGTAAATTTCTTAAGCAGTTTAGTCATCTTAGTCATGAGTGAGCTTTGACTCTCAAGAATGTTGTATGTATCACACAAGTCAGTCAAATATGGCTCATCCTGAAAATTTGTCTTTTGTGTCTGTGGGCTCTCTATGTGATTCACAAGGTTTATTAGGTAAGTTTGATGTAGACATTGAATTTGGCCCTTCGATTCCAACTGTTCTTTCTTTAGATGTTTGCTTGATTATAGGCCTCTGTTATGAGTTGTGTTTTATGCATCAATTAATATTTTATTGAGTATGTGTCGTTGGTGTTTTTGCTTCATGTGTGAGTTTTCATTTTAGTCAAGTTTCTGATGCTCTTATGATTATTTGGTTTGGTTGTTAATAATACCAGGATAGCATGATCCATAACACTATATGGAAAATATGTTTAATAGTGTCATCATTCTTCTATTTTCTGGTATGCAATTTAGACCAATACAAGTTACAATAATCTAAAAAAAATTCTATAGTTAATGTAGAACAATTAAGCACACCAAGTTCTTGGATAATGTAGGAAAACAGGAAATGTTGTTATGAAATTTATATCTATTTGTAGCGATCTTTGTCATATTCATGCAGTCAATTATCTAGCTAACCAACATTCAATATTCCATGTTCATATTTTGCAGATATTCTGTATGATAGCTGGTCCCCAGCCATGACTGTCAGTTCCATCTGCATCAGTATTCTCTCCATGCTATCAAGCTCAACTGTGAAGGTTTATTGCAACTGTTAACATTTTCACCATTTGTTTTTGTTCTTCCCGTTCTGGTCTTATCCAATCAAAGCTGGAATACTGAATTCACTTTGTCATTATGCAGCAACGGCCATCTGATAATGATCGATATGTCAAGAACTGTCGAAATGGCAGGTCTCCCAAGGAGACTAGGTGGTGGTTCCACGATGATAAAGTATAATGATACAAACCTGTTATCTGGAATCTGTGTATAAAACTGAGGGTTTTCTGATCAGGGGAAATGGGAAAGGGAGGATGGCCTTCCCTAATTGCCATGGTAAACCATTTACATTTGTCTTGCTGTGTATGAGATTATGAATTAAAAATAGATTTAATTTGAATGTGATCGCCTCCTCCAAGCAGCCGAGGAGACGATATAAACCTTTTTCTTTTCTAATTACGTTAGACACCCACTAGACTATGTGGAAGGACGATATATTTTAATTGCAGGTTGATGGTTACTTATATGTAAGGTAAACTTATGCTATTGATAACATTTATGGAGGGTGAATCTTCTGGCAGAATGAAGCTGCGTAGTGCTAAGTTAAAATGGAACTTAATTAAAGCCAATGCTATGAAGCTATCTTATCTGGTGTTATTCTCAACTGTTGAGAATATTGCAGGAGTTACCCAAAATGTTTGTTGCTGAGATCGCAGTGGCCCGTTTCCTTGAAGGGCCAAGGTAAAAAAAAAGGATTAACATTCACTCAATCATTGAAGGAACTAGAAAGAAATTGAGTGAAATCTTCAATTAATAAAATGAAATGGTGGAAAAGGAAGAAAATGAGAGCAATTTTAAGGAAAAAAAAAAGGCTAGTTTATGGTGGGTGGCCGGTGGGGACATGACACGACACAATGACTCGCTGTAGGGCTAGATTGGGCTTGGATCCTGTCCATACGGTCTTGGACTTGCCATGTCATGTTTGGGTCCCGAAGCGTTAACATAAGAAGCGATTTGGGTCCAGTATTCTCCACTGAGAACTTATAATGCCGCTCCGACGATTAACTTCAACAGCCGTTCTGTCACAACCAACGCTCTGTCCTGGCGTTATACTTCTCCTTACTTCCTCTCTACCCAGCCCCGCCTCCACTCCCTCAATCCTCTATCATTTCACCCTAAACTTAGCCTCCTTTCCTTTAGCTCGACCTCCCAAATGACATCAGAGTTCACCGACTTAATCACAGAACAATCCTCCAAACGCGTAAAACCTCCACTCTTTTTCACTTTTTTTCTATTCCTTTTGAACTTTATTCGGAAAATTATTTTAATGCAGTTTTCAGCTAAGTTATCACAGATTTAATGAATCTCAAAGAGAACAGATGGTTTTAAAGAGGTTAAAACAAGGCAAAATCGTAGCATTGATCAGCGATGCAGGAAAGCCTGGCATTAGCGATCTGGTACGGAATTGGTTAGCGTTTGCCTCCATTTTGGCTGAATTCTGTAGAATGTTTTTCTTATACAATTAGTTTTAGATGAATTAGTTGTTTATCTTTAGTCTTTGATGAAACAAAAACACATGAAGAGATAGGATTGTATTGTGTTTCTCATTACGTGTTTGGGAGATTTGATTATATTGTTGCCAATCATATATGTGTATAATAAACTTAGTATGGAGTAAATGTTAGTCTGATATTTGGAAGAGAACAGGCCGAAGTTTAATTGACAAGTCACTGAATCAATCATATCTGAATTACTATTTTACCTGTGATTTTTCTGATGATAGTAGTTGGATCTCCAAATTGCTCACCAATTGCTTAGGTTATTTTACCGGTTGATAATATATTTGTAACGAGCACAGAGGGGGTTTCAACTTTCAACAGCAGAATTCTTTTTTTTCACCCTTTTAATCTCCAAGTATGTCTACCTCACTTCATTGTTCATTGTCATTCTCCTTGTCAGTTTTTGTAAGGAAAAAGAAACTATGACCATCATTTTAAAAGTCATGTTAACCGCCCACTAATTATCGTAGGGAAGGATTCAAAGCATGTTTCTATCATGCCTTGGCTTACGATTTACTGCTTAAAAGTTGCTTTTTTTTTTCATGATATAAGCGTGCGCTGGAATGCGACAAAGACCTTGTAATCAAGTGAATCCTGGAACTGAAGGAAAAACACAGGATAACCCAAAACAAAGATGCTTGCAGATCTACTACAAGATTACAGACCCTAAAAAGAGGGTAAAAACAGGAAATCGCCAATCCTTGCTGGATGAAACTGGAACCAGCTGTGCCATGAAGCTGACAAGATCCAGAAGCCAATCAGTTGGGGCCGTCGGGATCAAGAGCACTGCAATTGCGATAACATGTGCCCAGCAATGATCATAGACCCCCCCCCCCCCCCCCCCCCCACATCAATCGTCCTCTTTCCACCGTCTGATAGCAATTTCCCCACAGAAAACAACTCCTCCAACTGCACTGCAGGGCCAAAAAAAAAAATCCCCTAATTACAATAACACTAATCCTTCCCATGCTAATCATATCCTTCAATTTGGTTCCTTTCTTGCCCCTTTTATGCCATTTCTATGTACAACAAGAACAGGAATATTCCTAAGTAAGTGCGCTCATGGCTATTTTAGGAATGTCAATTTTATTTAAACTCTTCGGAAACTAGATTTTTTTTTTTATAAAAATTAGTATTAAATTTTAAACATAGAGCCAGAAGATAATATAATACCCGTTTTGTACCCTTACTTTATATAGATTTTATATATTTAATAAATTAATTTTTTATTTAATAATATAAATTTTATTTTAGATTAATTAAAATTAATATATTTATATTTAAAATATATATACTTATATAATATAATACATAAATGTATAAAATAAAATTAAAAAAATTAAAAATTAAAATTAAATTTTATATTTTATTATTTTAAATTATTATAAATATAATGATTATTTATACTCATTCAATATTTATGAAAATAAAAATAAATAAATTTAAAAGACTCGTTAGATAAGATAAATATAATATAAAAGATAAAAGATATAGACTCATTTTATATCCTACTTATTGACGTCCCTGTATGGTTCTAGCTTTGTTTGTATCAATGGTCATCACCACGAAGCCATATTCGAAGAGAAAGCGAAGGTAGGTGTGAAAATCTGCTGGCCTGAGGCCAAAATGTGCCTTGGGCCAAATTCCATTTTCCTTTGATAGAACCGATCCCACTTGTTGCCAAAGTGGTCCATCCACTCCTCTTGTGTTGTGTAATGAGGTAAATACTGCTTCATATTGATCCCAGCATCATCACAGAATCTAAGAATCTGGCGGTTCTGATTGATAAGGTACTCCAAGCTCTGGGTCTCCTCCCCATTATCTAAGGCAGATCTCAGCAATGCCAGCTGGTAAAATACATCCTCATCGGGCGTCACCACGGAGTTCCTATGGTCCCATCTGCACCGTATGACAAAAAAACGCATCAGCGCAAATGCAGCATCTTTTGCATGGTAAAAACATGTTTAAGTTTTTGGAGCATTGTTTGTTTGTGTGTGGAAATGGTCGTGGAGATTTGATGGTTTTTGAACGAATCAAAGGGACCCAGGCTTCGGGGGTGATTGGTCGTTAACCTGTACTAACGGCTATGATCTGGAACTACTTTCTAACAAGACATGGATACTTCCCATCAGTGGTCCCAGGAGAAGATCTTCTGACACGGGAATATTCCCACTTGGATGATCATTACCGTCATTTGTTGGGTTCCATCGAATCAACAAAAGATCTAACGTGTTTATCAATCCTAGCTGGTCTTGATCACTCAAAACATTCATCTCTTGGCCATGGTTGAATTACTCACGGTACTACCTGATTTTTTCACCATCCCCCTCCCCTTCTTTTCATCTTCTATTCGACACATGGAACAACGGATTTACCTGATGAAGTAGATACCTCTCCTTTGCAGAAAAGGGACCTTGATTGTGAATTTGGTCAATCAGGCTCGTTAACATCGAAAAATGAAAACTCGAGGCCAATGTAAATCAATCTGCGGTTGCCAACATTCTTATCCTTTAATGCAGTATATGGGTGATTCCTTATATAGTCTAGAGGTTCTAAAATAATTGTTTGGAAGTGAAGCAAAACTCTCGGGAAAGCTATAGAAACTCTGATGCATGACCTAAGCTATGGTTGTGGGCATGTGGCCATACGAAGATAATATTTGCATGTGGTCATGCATGGAATTGATTGGTGTAAAACGGACATGAGAAATGATAACAATAGATTCAAGCAAAGCTTACGTGTTTTTGTTCATTGGGTAGATGAGAATTGGCCCACTAGTTTTGTTGGGCAAAATGCCCTTGAAGACTCCCCTGTCGAAGTCAGCAATCTTTGATTTGGGAATAAAAAGGTTTAGCCATGGGTGTGGAACCTCCCATTAACCCTTGGATCGGAGCTTCGACTCGGCCTTGTGGACCCGATCCAAGAAATCCACATACAGCTGATCAGTTGTAAAGAATGATGCCGGTATAAAATTTAATTTCTTCAATAAAGACTCTACTTCCTGTAAATGCAATAAGAGACCACCCCAAGCTTTAGAATCTTAAAAAAAAAGGTTGTCATTTGAAAGACAGTAGAAAATTAGAATATACAACCAAAGTACAAAAAAAAAAAAAAAGCTGCTACCAAACCACATAGTTGCTTTTGTCAGGATAAGTTCGATTCCAACCAATTCTTTTAGTTTAACTCCGAGAAGATTAATTAGAGTAGAATAATTTGTTGAGTGGACCATGGTCGGCATAGATTTAGTAATATTTAATGTAATATAAAATTATAAAGTAGTGTTCATTCTTAGGATTGGATAGGGTGATAGATCATACAAGATCTACCATGTTTTCTTGCATATGTTTCCATTACACTTTTAAGTAAGTTATTCTTCATGAAAAACTTACTTCAGACGGTAATAATTTTTATCTTATAGTCTCGGATATGGCTTTAAAACCAAAAACAAACAAAACTCAATGACTTTGGATTTGCACAATAATGTAAAAGAAGGATAATCATGTAGGTGGAAGATTCTCAATTGCATATAAAAACCATTAATTAAGTTTGCAAGAATAGTTCTATCATTCACTTTGGAAACAACATCATTTAATAAAGCTTGAATTGATACTTGATACTTCTAATTAATAATAATTAATACAGCAATGGACATCATTAATGAAAGATTAAGGGATGAGGCATGTATATAAAAGCAAGGGTGGATGGTATATACCTGATCAATGGTATCAGCAGTAGATTCATGGTAGTTCTTGGTGATTTCCAAGCAATACAACAGGCCTCCGTTAGCTCCAACAGTTGAAACTTTGACAGGGTTTCGAGGGGAAAAGAAGGATGACCTCCAATTGTTGATGAGCTCTTCGTCTACAATAACGAAACCTTCAACATAGTCGAATTTTGGCTAACTGGTTGTGCATGCAGAGAAATGAGATATTCTTGGTACCTGGTAAAAGCCGAAAAATTG